CTACGCATTTAACCCAGTCCAGCATAGAAAATTATACGTATCTCAACACAAATAATTTTACAATGATTTTGACTTTGGTCGATGTATGTTTCTTATCGTTGCAATTATTTTTTGTTGAACGATTCTGATAGCTAACACACTAAAGTGAGTTATGAAAGTTTGCGCGCCGATTTTACATCAAACACAAAAATCATCAGAACATCAGAAATAAATCATGAATATTTACAAATGGAATAATTTATTCCTACCGTGAAACTCCCATCTATCTATAAATCAAGCGAAACTACCACAAAAAGTAATAAGAACAAGGCTCGCCACCCTTGGGTGCCACGTGGGACCGAATGAAGTATGCGTACTCGCATGCAAGTATTTAATTAAAGCAGCGCTAGTGGCAGTGGCATATGGGGTCGTGTCCGCTGTGTCCGCGCGTCTACACCCGACGGGGTGACTCGAAGCTGACAAGGGGATCGCTCGGGCGGCTACTGTAAATATATGATTATGCACGAGGTTCGCTGGTGCTGAGTGCACTTTGACAGTCACCGTGCTGACATGCCGCCGTATTAACCCAGCCACGTGCTCCGCGAACTATGAATTACTTTTCACCGAAACGACATCTGCGATGCGCTGATATGGCAGGAACCCAGAGTATATTAGGCACAGGGGGTTCGATTCGGTGCTCGAATGGTAGCGGTGTTAGAAGTGGTGAAACGGTCGGTTAGCTGATGAGATCAAAGGATGACTGAATGTGAGATAGACATTTCTATGCACTATCATTGGTAGGATGAAAAAGTGATTTTGTAAGAGATTTGAACAACAAATTGTCTATTTACGATGAGCTTGACGATGTAATCCAATTACTCACATACCTACAGTAACATGTATACCTTATCTACCTAATTTTAAAGTTCTTTTAAATGATACACGGATTTTCACAAGATACACAGTCAGGTGTTGCATTTCCGCCAATGGCGTTGAAATTTCAACTCATGTCGAAACAGAGTGCAAATAACAAGGAAATTTAGAGGAGGGCGTCTCACCAATAAAGAAAACTGATTCGTAAAATATGAGAATACATTCTGGCATTCAATACGGCAATGGCAGACGTGGAAGAATTTTTGTCGGTGAAACAAGACTGACGCGACAAGTAGACGCGGAAAGTACTGTATTGACTTGTAGAAAGACACGTATGATATCGTACGTTATATCATTTCTGATATCTTCTATGTTAGCAAAACTATTATATAGAAAGCTAAAGTGGATTTGTACGCGACAAGAAATAGATCGCCTCTTTATGATTAGTACTAAATTGTAAAATTAATCATCATGGAAAATATGTCACTAATGTAGAATTTAGAAAAGGGAAGTTATAATTTAATATAGGTATTATTAGAACGCTGTGTTGTTAGAACCGTTTCTTTCCTCGAATCGATTATTTCCATTACTTCTTATACCACCGTTTCTTTATTTACAAACAAATAAATCGGCATAAAGGCGATATGTAAAGTTAAATAATCATCGATATGAAATTGCACAATTATAAATCAGAAGTCTATAATCTATAACTTATAACTCGTTAATTTACTAATATCGTTCGTTGGCTTCTGCGTCTTGTCAAGTTATTGTGCAAGAGGGTTCAGCTGTCCTAATGCGTGTAAACCATAGTGGATGTGATGGAATGCGTATACAGGGTGGTTGGTAACTGCTGGTACAAGCGGTAAGGGGGTGATTCTACGCGAAAAAAAGAAGTCGAAAATACAGAGTACAAATTTTTCGTTTGAGGCTTTGTTTTCGAGAAAATCGACTTTGAATTTTCGCTCGGTACGCGTGCACTTTATCACGCCTCGTTATAACGGCTCTCACTGTAGATCGTTGTCTCGATGGAAAAATGAAAAAAAAATAAAAAAATTTTTTATTCTATATTTTCGACTTCTTTTTTCGCGTCGAATCACCTCCTTTCCGCTTGTACCACCAGTTACCAACCACCCTATATATAATAATCATTGCTAAGCTTTCGACTAACTGATTCAAATAACTCGCTATCTCAAATAACTCTATCGTTGGTTGATACAATTATTATCTGCGCAAGCAAAAAACCACAGAGTATCGACGACAAGAATCCTTCAGAATGAAATTGCTCAATCGAACAACTGGAATCGAGTTCCCAGTCGCCTTCCACGGTCCGAGAAGAGAAAATCGTTCACTTAGCGTAGAATTCGATCCTGCACGCGGTCTCGCTAAATCAACGCTAAGCAAGCCCGGAAATGCGTCTACCATGTCGATCGCAGAAACACAAAAATTTCACTAACCGCTGCGTGATTCAAGTTTGGTAAATCGAACGACACGACAATCTCAGGCTTGCGTCTGGTCGTCCCGCAGAATTCACCTGCGAATCGTAGCCGTTCGTTGAACCCTACGAAGTTGGTGGAGGAGAGGTGATCGAAGGTCCAGAATGAGCGGCTGAAGAAAAGAGGACGATGTCACGTCGGAGACACAAGAAATCACGAAACCGATAAATCGCTGGTGATCTCCTCGCGTCGAAGTTCGAACGTTTTACGAATAAGGTGAAGAAATTGAACTTTGTATGCGGTAATAAACTTTATTATGCAAATCCAACAGAATGACGGTTTAAAGTGTTACAACAGAATAATTCAAAGTGTTATAAGAGACCGATTCAAAATGTTTTAACAGACTGGGACGAGCTTATTTTTGAGGGTTTTTATGCTGGGGTTTTAGTTCTTCTGGAGGGGTTATCGTCGCGTGTATATCAGAGGCGGCTGTTCCGTTACCATCTGGTTATTGTTTCGATAGCTGTGGCATGCAGGGTGTTTCGTCTACCCTATTACTGTTTCTAAGCGTGTGACATTCTTGAGCCTTAGGGTAAGAAGAGTTTACCAATAATGTTCTCAGCCTGCTCCCTCCCCAGGCTCACATTCTGCTTGCTCCTTCTAAGCCTGGCTATGACTCTTTTATAAGGCAAGCCCCACCAGTCATGGTCGAGAGTAGCTGTGAACTCCTTCTAGGCCAGCCTCTTACTCGAATAGATAGCTAACCTGAACTTATTCTTGCTCTTCCTATAATCGGCTCCCAGCTTTCGACGCCTCAATCTCTGAGTTAATCTTCCCTTCTTCTCGGGTTCTCATCGTTCCATCAATAATTTGGGTTTGTTCTCTCCTTAGGGGAAATACTTTCTTAAGTGAAGCCTCACAAGGTTCTTCGATAATCCACTGCAGGTAGTCCTCTTGTTTGTCATCTCCCCCAACTGTGCTTCCAATGATTTATTTTTTGTATCGTCAAAACTTCCTAGAATCCTCTTAGGTACAATGTCCTTCGTCGAATATTTAAAAAGTCCATTGCTATTAGACCTAGCCCTTCCTTTGAACTCTTGCAAAACGTATCTGTGATCCGATGCACTACAGTCTTCAAGGACCCCAGAACGCTTATGTCTCTCAAGGAGCTTACAGCTCACACTCATTATATCCAGGAAGGTCCTCCTCGAGCCTTTCTGAAATGTGGAGCCAATCCGGGTCCCAATAGGAGCAAAATGGTTCTTGTCCAGAACTTCCGACAGCACCTGCCCTTCTGTCCGTCATAGCGCCATCCCATGCTTTGGATTTCGCATTGAAGTCACCCGCAACGATCACTTTTTTGCATCTCCTCGCAGCTGTCTCGATGGATATGTCGAACCTCTCAACGTATTGGTCAAAGCTATTTATTCCAACGTTTCGCAAATAGCAACCACTCACGCAGTACACTTCACCGATCTTGATCCCGACATAACCCCCCTCTTCCATCAACATATCTTCGATGGGGCGGGGAAACTGATAGACGCAAACCCCTTCGTATCATTGTACCAAAAAGGGAGTTCTGGATTCGGTTCCAATATAATAACCGCATCGACGCGCCGCTCCTAGGCAAGCTGCTACATTAGTTCCTGGGCAAGCCTGCCCCTATTCAAATTTATCTGCACTACTTTCAGGATTCTCTCCCTCTAATTGTCTCTTTCTGCATTAGTTTCCTGAACGTAGGGCACGCTAACGACCCCATAAAGTGATTAGTCCGTACCTCGGACCCCCTGCTACACAGCGTGCATTTCGGGTCGTTACCACAATTCGTAAATGAGTAATCCATCTCGCCGCATTTCCGGCAAAGCTCCTTGCCAGGACTAAACGAACACCTATTCGCCATGTTTCCCATTTCATGGCACCTGTAGCATCTGATTACCTTAGGAAGGACCCGCGTAATGGCAATTGTAAGGCCTGTTCTTATTTTCAATCTCCCCTCCTTGCTCGCGATATACGTATCGGGTACCGTGGCAATCGCAGCCTGCGTGCCCCAGGCGGTAGCGTAGGAGTACTGGCACGGGAGATGATCAAAGTTGGTGAAAATAAATGTTCGCTTAATCCTATTATATTATTAGACAAATATTTTCCATAACAAATGTTTATTCTAATTCTAATTGACAGAATTGTCGTTGAAATTTCGAATACTCGAAGTTACAATCGTTCGCGATACGTTTTCACTCTTATTAATTACAAGATTTTAATTTAATTGATTTTCAATAATTTACAAGTTGACAAATACAAACACGTCGATTAACAAAGCTGACAAGAACTGGGAACTAATGAAAGAAAGAACTAAATGCTAAAGAACTAAAGGACTAAAGAACTTAAGAACTAAGAGCAAAAAAACTAAGAGCTAAAGGAACTAAGAGCTGAAAATCTAAGGAACTAAAGAATTGAAAGGCAAAGAAACTGAGAAATTAAGAGCTAAAGGAATTGAGACCTAATCGCTATGAACAAAGAAATTACTTGCCAAGAATTGGGGAACTGATCGCCAAGAACCAAGGAATTAATCACCAAGAACTGAGGAACTAATCACACAGAACTGAGGAATTAACTACTGTGTACTAAGGAATTATCTCTGTATCTTCTATGTCGCTACGCTTATTTATAACTAGGTCTACCGTGGAGGGGTCGTCATATGACGGGTTATTCCGTGGGGGTGGTGAGACTCGAATTTGGTTTCTATACAAATTGTTAAATTTTATTTGAATCTCAAATTGAAACGCTCACTCGCGCTATTGGTAGTTTTACTCTACGTTACGGCGCGTGCGCAGCGCGGGACGTGACAGCATCACCTTTTGCATCTTTGTACCAAAACGGTAGCTGTCTATTAAGTTGCGAGATAATTACTATATCCGGCCTATTTTCAATCGCGCATTGATACATCATGTTTTGCGCCATCTTGCATCTATATAGATTAATTTGTAGTATCTCCAATTTTTCCCTCGACTACTTTGCCTCAACATTTTCCTATAACTGGGGCATGCTAATGACTCCCTCACGTGATTAAATCTAGCACTTATTTCCTTACTGCATACAGCACAGTGAGGCTGATTTGGGCACACAGCTATTGTGTGATCCTTTTCTCCGCATTTCCTGCAGACCTCTTTGCCCGGACTTATCGTTCTGCATTTATTTGCCGTATGCCCAAACATGTGGCACCTAAAACATTTAAACACGTTCGGCAAAATCCTTATCCTTCTCCTGATGTTAACGCCACCCTTATCAACGTAAACTTTCGGTAACACCGCAATCGCCGACTGTGTGCCCCACGCTGCTCGTCTCAGTGTTTTGACCTCTATTTCACTACTGTCTTTAATTTTTAGCTTATCGACTAAGGACTCAACAAGCCCCTCCCTACTTATAAGGGGATCTATGTCCTTAATCTCAATCGAAACCTTGTCCTGCATAGGCGTCGCGCGCAACTTATCGCCTTTTACTTCGTTTAGCTTGTTCATCTCAACCTTCTCATCACTGCCAGGCCTCATCTCTATCAAAATATCGTCGGTTCTGGCTCTTCTTATGCCACGGCTCTCCTTCAAGATCTCTTTTGCCTCCATGATCTCCTTGTAGACTTGTAGCCATTCTTTCCCTCCTTCTACTTTCACAAGAATGACCTCAGGCCTATTACGTATTCTTTCGGTCCTTCCTACCTTTCCTCTACGTTCATCCGTAGGTACCACTTCACTCTCCGCCTTCAATGGACTCGGTTTCTCTTTCCTTCTCTCCTTTCTACTACGCACCACACTCCCTTCTTCCCTATTATCACTGTTCACACGATCGTATATCGTTTCCCCATCGGATCCTACACATCTACAAACATCGGCATAAGAAGCCTCACCATCCGTTGCCCTCTTCGTCCTAACATCGCCTTCCCCTTGCAGTGACGATATTTCTTTTCTTTTATTTCTGTCCTCACTGCTTCTCGCGAGGGCAGTAGTCCTTGAATACTTCTTCTTAGCTACAAATAGTTTGTAAGACGGACCGCGCCATTCCTCGAGTATAGAACTCATACTGGCTTCGCTGAATAGGTGCTCGTTAATTATCGTCGTCCACCTTCGGGCGTCCAATGCCCGGGGAACGGCGCGCATACGTGGTCGGCGCGCGACTTGGAAAAACCCTACCCTCCCCTTTTCGGGTCATTGGGCAAGTTGAACCTGCCCTTTCGGGCGGCAGGTCGCTTAGCCGGCGCGGCGTGATGCGCCCATCTCGCCGAGNNNGCGGTTACCGGCGGGGGCCACGAGGAGGTGCCAGCGTGTAGCTCGGTCCCAGCAGGTTGGCTTTCCATCTGATTATTCCCTGCACCGTCACAGTATTCATTTGCATGAGTACCGCCTGCACCGATGATCGTAGGGTTTCTTCCCCAGTTCTTACTTGTCGGTTTGCTTTCCGTCTTTTCTTTCTGTGTTTGTTATTTCCAGTTCTTTTATACTGGTTCTCCTATCTTAAGTCCGATGCTGTCGTTCCAGGTTTCTTCTTTGTAGGATTTCGTCTTCCGCTATTAGTTGTTGTCTTCTCCGTGATTGTTATTGTTGTTGTTGTTATTGCTGTCGTCGTCGTCACTGGACCCTGTGTTGCCCAGTGTTGCGGGTACTTGACCACTTTACCCATTTTAACACTTTTACCGTCGATTTTGATGATCGGTGGTCTCTCCGCATCCAATTTGCCCTTGACTAGGAGCATCTCCGTCTTTTCCGCCGATAGCGATAGCTTCTTCCTGGTGCACCACGTGGAGACGCGTGTAACTACTTCTTGTCGTCTCTTCTGTAGTTCTGTCCTTGCGTTTCCAGCGACTAGGATCACTATATCATCCGCGTACACGATATGTTCGCATTCTATCGCACTTGTCGTTATATCAGCCAGCAGGTCATCGAATACTAGATTCCAGAAACTTGGACCCAATACCGATCCCTGCGGGCATCCTTTCGTGACGGGCTTGCTGATTGTTTCATTTTTCCCAGTGATTTGCACGATTCTATCCGAGAAGTAACTCCTCGTCCCTCAGCCGAGGTTGTTGGGGCAGCCTCTTCTCTTCAGCTCGTACATTACGTTCAGCCTCCAGACGTTATCGAAGACTTCTGATATGTCAAGTGCGATGGCGAGGACGTACTTCTTGTCGCTCATTTGTTCGACCTTCTCTCGGAATTTAATGATCGCGTTTACACTTGATCTTCCGGGGCGAAAGCCGTATTGTCGATCCGAGGACATCTCGTGCGTATGAAAGATAGTCCCCATCCTTGTAGCCATCATCCTTTCCAGCACTTTGCCCACCATAGATAGTAGGCAAATCGGTCTGTAGGACTTCGGACTACTTCTATCCCGATCTGGTCCTTTAGGGATGGTAATGACGTTTCCCACTTTCCATATTCTTGGGAAGACTCCCCAAGTGAGGCAGCCATTCATGAGCCAGAGGAGTTCTTGGTGAATCCCCCTCCCCCCCAGGCACCTTGTATTATCTCCGCTTCGATCAAGTCGGGGCCAGGACATTTGCCCCTCTTCAGTCGTTTCACAGTGCCGCCGAGTTCTTCGAACCGGAACTCTGAGGTGTCTTCTTCATTTGGAGGGGTGATCTCTGTCTGCTCCGGCGTGTCCATTTCTTCTTGATCGTCGGGTAAGAGGGCGGACAGCATTGCCGCCAGGGTCGTTCGCCAGTTGGAGGTACCAGTTGGAGGTATCTCCTTGTGGCGTCTTGTACATGGGGCAATCCGCACTGGAGGCCGCATGATCTCCTCTTTCCCAGTCTTCTTACAGTTTACGTAGCTGGCATTCTTATCCTTACTTGTGCACTGCTTAGTGCTATGTCCGCTTTCTGCGCAGTGTGCGCAGATTTCGTAGTTTAGTCGACAGTATTTTGTCACGTGGCCTTAGCCTTGGCATTTAAAGCATCGACTAAAGGCTATGTAACCTCTAACCTTATAGGCATTCCACGAGATAAATATTTTACTGGTTATTTATTTATCCCTTACCTGGAAGGGGGGATACTTCCAGTACCCAGTTGGTTTCTTGGGAGTCCTTGCGGCCAGTTCTGGAGCAGAATCTAATGACTGCAACGTCTTCTTCTGTTAATCTATCCTGGTTCTACTTCCTGATGCAGAAAAGTAACTTCTTCTCCGGGATTTCCCGTGGTACGTCATAGAGAATTACACGGGGCAATCTCCTCTGCGGCGTGCTGGTTTTTAGGCCAGCCTCCTTTAACTTCGCGTTCTCCGTGAACGCTTTTAGGTCTTCGGGCTTCGTCCTTTCCACGACCAAGCCGTTCCCGCTAATTTTTTTGACTGCAGTAACTTGTACTCCCTTTTCACGCGGGTTCACTAATGTGAAGACCACTTCCCGCGCTTCCTCGCTTGATTTGATCTTGCTTTCTGTTGATTCTGGGCGGATTATCACTGCATTCTTTGGTGGTTTAACCGCCTTGTGCCCCACCTTGTTACTCTTCATCTTAACTTTCTCCGCATAGGAGGGCTGCCTTGGCTCCGTCCTTGCGGTTTTCTTGATTGCCGTCTCCAGCCGCTTGCTGGTTTGCAGCGTTTTATTCCTCGATAACAAGTATAACCTATTCGTTACAAGCTATATCTCAGTAAATACTTCGCTTATTAGCATAGTCATCTGTTGCCTCTCCTGTCACTTGCTTTTCCTCAATCGCCTTGCTATTTATAATAACTATCTTTCTAAGCTGCTCTTTCGTCCTTATCATCGCACTTCCACTGTCCGACAATTCCGTCGTCGTGACCACCTCCGAGATGCTCTCTAGATCTTGCTTCTACGCTTTTATAGGGCATAATATTTCTTTGCGGCTGTCTTACCGCTTGCCACTTTTTTCGTAGCCCCTACTCTAGTTGCATTCACATTACCTTCAGTTTGGTCCCCGATCATATATATCGAACGAGGGGGGACCCTGGGACCGACTTTACCCTTGTCGCTTGTCTAGTCGCCGGATGACCGTTGGGTCGAGCCTGGACCACCACTCGACATGCCGACGGGAATCTATGATAATACTATAACCTTTCCCTTTTTCCAGCATCTGGGGATTCTGGATGCTGGGGATCCAGCATCAGATGAGTCCGTGATATTGTTAATCACATTTGTAATAAGTTCTCTCCTATTATTTACAATCAACGACTATATCACCTGGAACCCCATCCATTCCCACAGCCTTCTTTTCATTAATTTTACCAACTATATGCACCACATCTTCCTCGTCGAGTATAGTATTGTAGGTAATATCCTCCCTATCCCATTCATCGACCTGCCTTTGCAGCGGTCTGTGTCCAATAATAAATAAACTATTTAAAATCTCTTTGACCTTATTGATCGGCATGTCATTCGGTAGCCCTTTCTTATTACATCTACTCATAAGTGTGCGATACGGTTTCCCCCATGGGTCACTTTCTAAGATCTCGCAGAATCCAGCCCAATCTCTCTTTTTGCTTCCAGCTATTTCTTTTTTTAATTGACAATCGCGCTGGCCTCCTTCTTCCTCGCTCTGGTTACTCTTCTTAAAACTTTATGAGCTTGTGCTCTCAATTCTGCGATCGTCTCGTTCCACCAATAATTGCTGTACCCCTTATTCGCCGTACAGCTCACCTTCTTTAGCGTATTTTCGCATGTTCCCACCATACACTTCTGTAAATGCTCCGTCTTGTCCACATCGTCAATCGTACTAAAATTCTCTGTGTTAGTGATCTCGTGAAATTTCGATAAAAATATATCAGGTGTTAAACCTTTCGTGACGTATTTAAAAAATTTCCGATGCAAGCATATTAATAAACATCGTGTAGTCCTGCTTGTTAATATTAGGAGAGCAATAACCGCTAAAACAGAGGATACCACCTACACCTATACTCACTAATCCACCCTTCCTATATTGTAGAGTTTCATCCGGTGCTCTACCGTTGAATTGCGTCACCCAGATCGATGCATCACCCTTAGTATCATTGTATTAGTAAGGTAGCTGCCTATTAGGTTCGGATATTATCACCACATCCGGTCATAACTCAATCGCGCTTTGGCACATTAATTCCTGCGCCATCCTATATCTATTCAAATTTATCTGCAGGACTTTCATCTTCTCCCTTGTCTTCCTTGCCTTAAAATCCTCCTGTAACTGGGGCATGCTAAGGACCCCGTCACATGGTCAGTTTTAATACCCAATTCTGTGCTGGAAATAGCACAGTACGGTCAATTAGGGCACACTGCTATAGTGTGGTTTCTTTCTCCACAACTTTCTGCCCTCCTCCTTTCCAGGGCTTATAAGTTTGCACTTATTCGCAGTATGCCCGAACATGTGACACCTGAAACACTTGGTCACATTGGGCAACACCCTAACCTTTTTTTGCGTGAGAAGGGGAAATGCTATTACGCATACCCAGTGACCCGCGTCACTAGGTTATGTCAGACTCGGCCAGATGACATCGCCATACCGACTAAGAACACCTCCCCTTTCCTCTGATGGGTTAGACACGGACAACCCCAGCAGAGCCGATCAGCATTCATCAGGGTTGTCCTTAACCTTATCGCCGCATATTATCGTCGCATACTGATGTCGCTCCTCCTATTCACTGACTCCATCGCCTTTTTCATCTCCCTTCTGTATTTCATTATACCTTTACAAAACTCTCTGAACTTCCTCCAATATTCATCCTTGGTAACTACGGTGTCCACCAAGTTGACCACGCTTATCCTGACACTCAGGAAGTTCTCTAGCTCGATTCTTCTGTCGATCCATTTAGGGCACACTGTGGCGGCACTTGACAGGAAACTTGCCAACAGTTTACGTCGCGTGACGCACGACACAAAAACCCTATACCTGCGGACAAGATGATTGCCAGATGTCGATACATTCGTACCGAATATTTCCAGCTAGCCTGAGGACCGCTATAAATCTTAGGATTTATTTTAGCTAAGGTCCTCCAAAGAGACAAACAGTCTTTGTTTATCAGTCTCGAAGTCGACCACCTACCACGGGGACACACGAGAAATCTGCTATCTCTCACGTACGATGCTTCCCGCTAGCAACACCCCCTCAAGGGCAGCTAGCATCCTTTTCCAACGACCAACACGAATTAGCCAATAAACATTAACGTACATTTCCCTCACTTTCCGAACCAAAGCTTTTCTCAACGAATCCGATGCCTTCGCATCCTTAGACACATCCCAACGCAGTCTTCCTCCGCAGCAGCATCGCGACAAAAAGTCAGTCTATTACCGCGAATCAACATATCACGATCGTTATACTTACACGGTTCGAGTCGAATAATTATCTAAGCTCTCGTGCAATCATTATCCGCTCTCACAGCGCATCTCGAATCGTAGCTGTCCAAGCTCTATCTTATAACCGCGCATTCGCGAATCGAATATAATCGCGAATCCTGCGTCAAGTGTACTCATTGACATTAGAGTGAATAAACATTTATCGTTCAATAAATCTGAGTTTTCCTTCCAACCCTATCACGACATATCACCTCAACACCAATAAGACATGCTCGGCGTCATTATTCGGGTCTCCACAATTCCAGCACTTAGTGTCGACCTCCTTACCGATCCTCTTACGATAGCTGTTGAAGATACCGTGTCTCTTCTACTCCTGGCGAATATGGACGCATTAATTATTAATTTCTTGGTCAAATTATCCTTTTTATAATTGCTCCATTCCGCCTGCCACTCCGTTATGGCCTTCTTCTTTATTTCTTCCAGGTCTTCATTTCCAAATACCTCTCGATCATCTCATCTCCAACAGCTAAGGTCTTGTAGATCTTCCTTTTCTCATACACCTCCTTCAACATTTGGACTTTAATGTAGATCGGTAAGTTTCCGGTAAGATCGGTAAGTTGAGATATAGTGCTGTAGGCCGTGGATGTGATGCACAGGGCAGTACGTTGAGCACTTTTTATGATCTTATTTTTCTCGTAATTCATCGCATCAGCCCACACAGGTGCACCGTATGTTATTATGGATTCCCACACGCTATTATAAAGCCTGCGTGCCAAACCAGGCGGGCCATTAGTATTCGGTAGAATTCCTCGTAATGCTTCTATCTTGATGTCCGCTTTATTGCACACCGAGGCAATGTGCTTGTCAAAATTTCTGTTCGTGTCAATCATGACACCTAGATATTTAGTGACCTCTACTGTTTTAGTAGCCACGCTGTCCACATTTAGGCCGATAGCTTTGGGCACCCTCATACCAGCAATGAGGATTATTTCCGTCTTGTCCTTAGCCAGCGTCAAACCCAAACTCGTACACAAGTCGCACACGGTTCTCATGACCTCACCTACTCTTCCACTCACGCCTTCATTCTTCTTCACGTCACATGCGATTGCCAGGTCATCTGCAAACGCGCGCCCTTAACATTACCCTGTTGTCCAGCCTTTCCAATAAACGATCATAGATTATGTTCCATAGGAAAGACCCCAGCACAGATCCTTGTGGTACTCCAACAACAACCAGGTACTCCACCGTACCAAACTGATTGCTGACGATTATCCTTCTGTCCGTCAGATAATTATTTACTAGTCTAGTGATCTTCCAAGGCAGCTTCCTCCTGGTCAATTCATCAACAATGCTGTCCCAACTAAGGGCGTTGAATGCATTCTTGATATCCACCGCAATCATCAAGCATATCATCCTTTTCTACTTGCAGGTGTCCGCGAATTTAATCACCTGTGTAATCAACTCCTGAACCCATATTTCCTCCTATGGAAAGGTTCCACTCCCATACATCTTTCGATAATCATCTTGAGACATTTTTCCCACACTTTGCTCAAGGCAGGGAGTACACTTATTGGGCGGTATGCATTAGGGAGCTTAGGGTCCCTACCCGGTTTGCTGAGTAATATTATTTTCGCTGTTTTCCAGCATCCCGGGATTCTACCAGAGTTCGTGATACTGTTAATCACCTTAGTGATAAGCTTTGTTCGGTTGTTTAGTAACAGCTTAACAATATCACCTGGGACCCCATCTATTCCCATCGCCTTCTCTCCATTGATTCTTCCGATGATATCCTTAATATCTCCCTCCTCGAGCTTCATGTTATAGGTGATATCCTCCCTATCATGTTCTTCGACCTCGCTTAGCTATGATGAATAAACCATTCAAAACTTCCTCCGCCTTATTAACAGGCATGCCATTTGGAAGCCCTTTCTTGCTACATCTGTTCATAATCGTGCGATACGGCTTTCCCCGCGGATCCCTTTCTAGTATCTCACAGAATCCGGCCCAGGCTCTCTTTTTACTTTCAGCTATCTCTCTTTTCAGCTGTCTTCTTAGCCCCTTATATCTACTAATAAGGGCTTCGATCCCACTGTCCTCTTTCCTCCTTGCTCTAGCTATTTTTCTTAATACTTTGTGAGTCTGAGTTCTCAATTCTGCGATCGTCTCATTCCACCAATGGTTGCTATACTTCTTGTTTGTCGTACAGCTCACCTTCTTCAGCATCTAGTCACATGTTTCCTCCATACATTTCTGTAGCAACTCCGCCTTGTCCGCGTCGTCCGTCGAATTAAAATTCTCTACGTTAACGATCTCGTCAAATATAGTTAAAAATATGTCGGGTGCAAGTCCCTTCGTCACATATTTAAAGAATTTAGTTCGACCACTTACAGTCCGCGTTTTAAAATTGTGAAATATGTATAGGTGATCGGATGCTGTGAAAGCATTTAAAACCTTACTCCTTACGTGGAGGTCGTTAACTTTGTTTGTTGCACTGATTATGTCAGGGCAACTCGTCCTTCCGTTGCTATAAAACGTTTATTTATCGTCCAGCCTTATAGGGAACACACCGTAATCGCACAGGGTTTCCATCAGAATTCTTCCTCGCTCGTCTGTGGTTTCTCCTCCCCAGCAAGTGGCCCTAGCGTTAAAGTCGCCAGCCACAATCAATTTCTTGTTTCTGCTTACACCATTCCTTATCTCCGATGCAAGCCTATTTATATACATCATGAATTCCTGTATCTTGATATTGGGGGAGCAATAACCACTGAAACAGAGGATATCACCTACACCAATACCCACTAGTCCACCACTAGCCTGTCCTTCCTGTACAGAAGCGTTTCATCCGGTGCTCGACCATTGAAATGCGTGACCCAAATCGAAGCATCACCCTTAGGATCATTATACCAGTAAGGTAGCTGCCTTATAGGGTTCGGATATTATTACACATCCAGTCTGGCCTCGATCGCGCTTTAGCACATTAGACCCTGCGCCATCCTACATCTATTTAAATTAATCTGGAGGATTTTAATCTCCTCCTTTGTCTACCTTGTCGTAACATTTTCCTATAACTGGGGCATGCTAGGGACGCCGTCACATAGCCAAATCTAATACCCGTCTCCTTGCTGCATATCGCACAGCACGGTAAATGTGGGCATCCTGCTATTGCGTGATCTCTGCCTCCACACTTCCTGCATACCTCCTTTCCTGGGCTTACAGCCTTACACTTGTTTGCAGTATGCCCGAATATGTGACATCTAAAACATTTGGTCACATTGGGCAACACCCTGACCATGGCTATGGTTAGGCCCCATCTCTCTTTAATTTTTAACTCTTTCTTCAGGGACTCGACGAGATGATCCTAACTCATTAGGGGATCCACTTCTTTTATCTCCATCGACACCTTGTCTTGTAAAGGCGTCGCTCGCACCTTGTCGCCAATAAGCTCGTTTATCTTATTGGCAGCTACTTTCCACTTTCACCTCGCTGCCAGCCCTTATTTCTATCAGGATGTCCCCAGCTCTTGTTCTATGAATGCCCGAGCTTTCCTTAAGAACATCCTTCGCCACCATAAGATCTTTGTATACCTGAAGCCATTCCATACCCTCTCCTACTTTAATAAGGATAGCCTCCGGCCTTCTACGAGCTCTCAGCAGCTTCGGCCCTCGATTCTCGGTAAGCGTCAGCGGCGGTGGTCCGCGGTCCTCTTTGTCATATCCTATCCTTTCTTTTATGCTCCGTTTCTCTTTCCTGCTCATTTGGACCACCCACTCGTCTCTGGATTCACAGGAATCGACATGTCTGGTGTCCATAGCACTCCTCCTCTTTGAACCGCATACCTCTCCATAAGAGCTATCACTTCTTCTTATTTTCTTGTTATACTCTTTATCTTTAATTTCCAGCGGAGAGACTGTCTTCCCTTTGTTTCTGGGTTCTGAGTATATCCCTCTTCTGCTGTCCCTATTTCCTCTTCCTATCTCCCCCAACAGAGGAGAGGTTTGTGTGGATACCTCTAGTTCCTCAGGTCTCTCTATTCTTCTCTTACCTCTCCTTCCTTTCTTGTGTACCGTCGTCATAAGCTTGCCCCATACTTCATCCGTCTTGTTATTAGCCGCGGAAGCAGGCTCATGAATTTTCGGATCCTTCTTGTAGATGAGGTGTAGTCTTCTTACCGCCTTTTTCAGATCCTTGTAGGCTCCCTTC